CGACACTGAATTCACTCCATCCCTTACATTTTTTTTTTAAAAAGTTTGTGTTAAATTTAGATAAGACATTAAAATGTTCAATAGTAAGTAGCCAAATTTAACCAACAAAACTCTATAAATTTTGTTGCTTTCAGTCTTTAGATTCATATTAAACAAAAAATTATTTTACTTCAAAACAAAAAGATGAATAGAATCTTAGGTTTCATTTTTCTTATATCTATGTATTTTGGATTGAGTGAAGCAAATGGTTGCTACCAAAACAAGTTAGAAATTCAAAACAAACTCGGTCCAAATCGTATTCTAAAAATTAGATGTGATGGTTCGCCAGACATCCACTGGTTGAAATTCAATGAGAATTATTTATTTCCACTCCGTTACGCACCATATAAATTTTGGATGTGTCAAATTACTTACTGGCCTACAAAACAACCTTATATATATGATCTTAATGCAATATTAGGACCAAAAGATCCGCCATGTATGTATGGGTTTCGATCATGGATTGCTAAATTTGATGGGGTTTACTATGAGCATAATAAAATTAAACCAGCGAAACGCCTACTTGGATGGACAAAAGAAGGTACTAATACTCCAGAAAATTAATGCAAGAGTTGCATATTAATGTTCTTTTTATTCTATTTAATTAAACTATTTACTGTTTAAATTGTTTGTATATATTGTAAGGTAATTTATCATTGTGTGTTGTTATGTAGAGGTTTTTAACCTTAATAAAATACAGCAAGTGAAAAGTAAAATTTATGATAGTATTTAGAGATCAAATCCACGTGGATCAAATGAGTACACAATGAACTGTGTTGATTTAACTATAGCTATGGTGCAAAGGAGTTTTCTGAAACTCAGAGTTCAATTGATAGATAAAATTAAATTAAATAAATTAATAAAAATATTGGACAAAATGAATCAAGAGGGTTCATGACAGTAAAAGAGATAATTAAATAAGATTGCAAAAAACCGTTCTTGAACTCAAAACACGAATAAAAAATTATCATATTCTCACACAATATAAGTATCTATGCAATGACATTCGTAGCAACTATTATGTTTGTCAATAGTAATTCAAGCAAGCATTATGTTTAAGTTTGATATGTTTACAAAACACCTTAACATGAACTATTGGTTGGCTAAGGAAGTTTTGCTCACATATGTTATTTCAAGCAATTAATCAACATTTTTGATGTCACGATGAATTAAACCAAATATCAGAATCAAGGTGATCAATCTAGATTAAGCAATAGGAACAAACATAGATGAAGAACCACAAGAATCCATCTAAATCGAATAACCTAAAAATCAATCAATCATGAAATCTCGTTAGGAATCCCTAAAACCAAATAGAGAACTACTCAACGATATAGACAAAGAATAAACAAATCAAATATGAAGAACACATAATTGAATTGCATATAAAGATAAAAGGTTTAGAAATCTTCTTCAATTATCAAGAGGATTATTGATCTTCTCCCAAAATATCCCAAAGAGTTTTAAAGCAATATAATTGAGTAGAGAGGCACTACTAGGTCTAAAAGTCGAGTTTAATGTTTATATAGTGCAGAGACAAGGTTTTTGTCGCTTCTGGTTAAGTTTAAGTCTCTAAAACGTGTTTCGGCTCTAAACCGAACGGTTACCAAGCTGTACCGATCGGTTCTCCGTCTTAATTATATCGGTCGGTTCTGTGTGACATGTCTTCAGTAAATTGCCCATAATCGCACTGTTGGATTTCCTCGATTCCACTTAGAAAGGGAAGCTAACATCCCCCTTTATCTTGTGTCCAAAAATGAGATAGCTCTAATGGGGTGAAGTCATCCATCGGAGGTAAATCATCTGATGTGGCTCTGCAGCTTTACATTTACAATCATGCATAATGATCCCAAAACCTACCAATACTCGATATAGACTAAAAACACTATAAACACTCTTTGAATCAGTAAAAGACTAAAAAAAAATATCAAAACACCGGTAAAAATACCTTAAATACTATGACTTAACTTATAGTATTATCTTTTAATTTTTCATCATCGTATTATCTCCTTAGTAACGCAGATGTAGGCCACATTCCGAAAAGTATCAAATTAATCTAGTGGTTATTTAGGTGAACAACATTTAGATTGGACTTGGGCAAGCTTTCTCTCCTAGACACTATAATCGAGGCACCATCTTTGATCATGTTTTCCGACGCCGGTGAAGCTTTTCCTTGCCGGCGTTGGGACATCCCTTCTCCTCTTTGCTTTTACCGAAATCTATCTTTTGTTTGGCTCAATTACTTTCAAATATTAATGTCTTTTAAGCTTTCCCTTTTGTTGTCTTCTTCCCATGGAGATCTAAAGTCCTGCGACAGAGAATGAAGATGGCTTCCGGCGAGTTGTCTCCCTCTAATAAAGTCGACAACTGAGGAGTCCTTTGAATCCAACTGTACCTCATATACAGTTCTAATGGATCTCTCCGAAGAACGTTTGCAATACTTCATGTCGTCGCCCCTTCCTCCGCCTCATTACCCCCATCTAGCTCGTTTGCCTCGCCTCCTTCCCACCTAGTGACGACGGCTTCAACGCTAGTCAATTCGTCAACTCCGTACAATCGTGGCTCCCTCACCACCATCTCCCAAACTGTTGTGATATAAGTTTTGCTTTGTTGGCCTTTTTTCTCGCCCAAGCCCACAAATCATGTCTCGGCACACTTCCAAAATTTGTAGCCCAACTCCTTTCACGACTTGGTCTAGTTTTGTTTCTAAATTTCTGTCAAACCCATTAATTTTGATGCTTCGATTCTATAGCTCGATTTGCCAAGGACTCAGCTCTTGCTTTCAGTCGACATCTTTGAAATGGATTTGTGATGATCTCTTACAACCCCCTGACGCTAAGCTCTCCTCTGGCTACACCCGAAGAACACAAAAGCTTGAAGAGCTTTGATCTCTTGTTTTCAAATTCATTTCGTCGGTGGTGTGACTATTGTCACCAGTTTGCTTTGTCTGATCCCTTTACACTAATGTACGTTTCTATCGTCGTTAAGCTCAAGCTTCTCACAACCACCAATACCTCTTTGATTTGGATCCTGCACTCATATAATAATATTTCTTATTCAACTCATCGGATTTCGTTGATGGCATGAGCTAAAACTCTTGGACCGTCTGTTGCGCCTCGTTTGGTGAAGTTGTCGACGGTGCACGACACCGCATTTTTATGGTTGAGGATCTCCCATAATGGAACTGCTCAAAACAAGTTTCGGGTTTGGATTTCGGCTTGTAACCCCCAGAAGCTGCCTACTAATGCTTTGCAAACTCTTGAACCCTTTCGGCAAAGTCTTTGTTCCATGTGTGCCACCTCAAATTCAATTCTTATCTGACCTTGAGGTTCTCCAGTCTGCACCTTTCCAATTTATAGAGACTCTTTGGTTGCAGTTGTCCTCCTTTATGGAGAGAACAATTTGTCAATCGACTATGACTATTCACCAACTTCCCGATTTGTTCGTGGACGTGGTTTCGACTTACCTTGTACTCGCTTGTGGCAAGTTGCCTTACCGCTCATGTCTCCGAGTTTTGGCTCTTCCGTCGAAATATCCTATCTATCCTTTTTTGTTCTTACCCATGTTTTCAATCTTGTTGTACTAATCCTTGCTTTGGATGAACTCTTAACCTTGGTAATCCTTTCGATCGGTTGAATGGAAAACAAAGTTCTTGCCCAAAACAAAAAAGTTGTTTAGGTGATAAATAATAAGTCAAACCATACAAATTCGATCACTCTTTCTAACATTGTTTACTTCTTTTTTAGTTGGTTATTTATTACCTTTTCTTCAATTAACTTTTTAATTGATACAGTAAATTAATACTCCATAAATTAATAAACACTACAAAATAACAAAATCTTCTAACTCCGAGTCGGACCACAGTAAAAGTTTACAAAATTCGATAAGATAAAAAAATAATATTTTACATTGGTCCAAACGACCCAATCCCTAAGAGGTCGGATTGATGGGTCATGGAAATCTTCGGATCCAACTTCGGGCCTGAGATGATTGTGTTTTCAAGGAAATGCTCAAACAGAACTTCTTGGTGCAAAGTATTTTCGGAGGTGTCCCTCCCCCCTGCACTTGAATATGGAAGCCATAATTTGGGCTATGAAGAATATCTTTTCAAGAAGGATTGATTGTCATGCGTTTGAAACTGACTGTAAAGAGTTAGTCTTGATGGTATATTCTCCTGAAGAATGACCCGCTTTCTCCAATCTACTAGATGATTTTGGATTACATCAAGTTCTCTTTCCCCTTTTCTAAATATCAAGTCCAAAAATACATAATATGTAACATCTCAAATACTAATTTCATCTAGATATAATTGTCTCAATTTCAAATTATTTGAAAGTTAACAATAAAAAAAATCTCTTTATAACTTCATAAATATTAATTTATGCTATAAATAATAAATATTAATTATATTTATACATAAATAAATATTATTATAAATTAATAAAAAGTTATGGTCCCAACATTATTAATTGGTAGAGGTTTTACCATAATTATTATCAGAATCTGTATTTGATTGAGGTGTTCCGTCATGAGCACATGATTTCTTTTTTGGTGTGGCCACTTTAAAGTTTTGTTATGCTTTGCAGTTGGCTTACCTAATCTTAAAGGTCGGCTTGGTTTAGAAAGAACTACTCCTTTAGACACGAAATTCAATATAAGATTCTGATTAGTATTCAAACTATACAGACCATGTTGCAAGATTAGTTGTTGACGAATGTGTACCTTGTTTGCTGGTTAAGATGGAGAGCTAAATGTTGATGCTATTGATGGTGAATGTCTTCTTTATTTAGGTGGTTGATGTGCGAGTAATTTCACCTCAAGGTTTTACATTACTACAAGAAAGCATTGTATTTCTCCATTTTTTTTACGAAAATATTGGAAAGAAATATTTTCTGCCACGTAACTACGACTTAGGGACAAGAAGGGAAAGACCTGTTGAAAGAGTTTTAAGTGCCACGTCAGCAAAAATAACTCTCTAGGGCGATCAGGGAGGCGATTAGGGTTTTGTGGTGTCTGCCGCAAGGAATAGGATCCACGAGGGATGTCGGCACCGGAAAAGGAGGCCTCTCCTTCACCGGTTCAGCAACAGTCAGGTCAGAGTAGTTCGCAAGTTCAGTCTCAACAAAAGTCGTATGTTGGAGCAGTTGAAAACAGGTTTCCAACACCAAGTCACACGTTTCAAGTCGAAGTGATCGATGGTGCTTCTTCAGTGGAAATACCAGAAGATCTAATTCAGAATTCAGTGCCTCTCTGGGAAGATTTCCTAGAGGGTAAGTTTTTGGACAAGGCTCCTCACGTAGCCAAAATCCAACCTTAGACCACCGCCGTTGAAGTTTTCTCATTGTGCTAGTGAAGATTGGGAATCTAGCCCAAGAAGCCGTGAAGGACGTTTTCATTCACCTTATCCAAGGAGGACCGAGAACGACCAAGAGAGGTTCACACCGAACCGTTTCTCTTTTCACCAACCAAACCCGCCTATTCAAGACCATTCTCGTGTACCATGGAGGCAGAAAAGTCATGAGGATACAAGGACACTACACGCACGAATTGATAAGATCGATAGTGTTCTTTCGGATAAGATCGATGAACTTTCTTTTAACTTTAAAAGAAAGGGAGATCAAGGTGACCAAGACGATATAAGGAGAATCCAATCAAAAGTCAATGGCATAGACGAAAGCATATGGAGACTTCAAACCTGCATCATGAACTTGGAAAGTAAGGATGAAATAGAAGATGTGGCCCTAGAATATGTGATTAGACGACAAGGAGAAGTCGAAGATAACAACATAAAGTGTATTGAAGGGCAATCACACATCCGAGGGGCACTAAGGAGGGTTTCCATGGACTCATCGAGGAAGTACATTGAGCTATTCGATAAGATTGTCGAGTTAAGCAAGAAGTTCGACGATCTATCCTCTCGTGTTGCCGGACACGATCCATTGGAAAGTGGAGATGAAGAATCGATACCTGATGCAACCTGCAGTGCCGCCAATACACACATGGAGGAACCACCCGACGAGTTACTATCCAAGAGAGTTTGTCTAGGGACAAACCATCATTCTCACTACGCTTAGTGAGATACCAAACGTCGAGCCAACGAAGTTAAACAAGTGCGCTAAGTGGGCGGCAACCCACTAGGTAAATACTTTTCCTTAGGATTTAATTACTTTTATTATTGATAGTTTTAGTTTTTGTTTCAGAAATTTCATTAAAAACAGAAAAGAAAATAGAAAAGAAGAAAACAGAAAAGCCAAAAAAAGAAGAAGGAGGAAGAAGGTCCCCGGACCGGTCACTACCACCCGTGAGCAGTGCCAGCAGAAGGCTCCGGACCGACCACGACTACCCGTGACCGGTGCCCACCGTAGCCTCCGGACCGGTCACTACCACCCGTGACCGGTGCCGATCCATACCCTACCCGATGTTGTTTTATGATCCCCCGAAGCACGGTGGCAAGTTGAAACACAAGTCCTGCCATCCTCCAAGATGTCCGAAGCATGCCGAAGGCGATGGATTGATCGAGCTGCCAACGATCAATGCCAAGAGTCCCCACCGTGACAAACCAAGGGTCGTATCAACATCCACCATCCGTCCGTGCATGATTCTATCTTGTACCGTGCATCGACCCGCGTACGTACCGCAGCCTGTCCCGTGATCGTACCGTAGAGCACCTTCACGTCCGTTCTTCAATTCTGTCCGATAAAATGATCTAGGATTGAATATCTACCAATAACTTGGATATTTCATGAGTAATCATCATGACAGAATACTGAAAGAACGAGTGCTTCACGAGACAACACAAATCCACCGTCCCGCGACCGTACCGCAATGCACCTCCACGTCCGTTTTGAAGTTTTACTCGACCCAATGAGCAGAGATTTGGAATTAACCATCAATATGGGGATTTGATGAGGAATTATCGAGACATAATCTTCAAAAGAGGCGCCCTTTGCGATACCACACAATCAAGCCCAACCGAGCTGTACCGTACGATGGAAGTCGACATCGTCAGAATCTTCTGGGATTCAAAACTTGCCAATTTTATGACCATTCCAGGACATATGACCGATAGAAAACGGCTTGGCATCGGACTAGATTGTGAGATATGACGAGAAGCCGTCAAAAGAAGCCTTCACCATACCACCAAACCAAACTTCGTAGAATTGACTTGGGATCTGAAATTCATCCGGAAACTTAACGTTCTGGAGAGAATGGATGAGAAGAACAGGTCAATCATCGGCTTAGTTTGGGAGATATCGACAAAAGGTACGAGATAACGTTGATTACTTTACAATATGCTGTTGCACTCGATGAAATTGCTTGGGATACAAAATCCATAACAATATGCCTATTCTAGAGACATTCATCGAGAGAAACACGGAAACTTACGGCTCATTCTAGAGATCCACGATAACACCCTCCGTGGAGCCATCCTTAAAGCATTCCGTCGTTTCGAAGTTCGTAATTTGACATGAGATTCAAAAGTCATCGGCAACATGCATATTTTAGAGGAAATCATCGAGAAAAATTGGCCCTGAAACGGGCTAGATTTGGAGAACCACGAGGAAGCTGAAGATTGCACGATCAGGACCGTACGGATCACCAACCGGTCGCACAACCCGCAACCGGTCCCGCCTCAAGAAACCAGCCCGGTCACACCTACCCGTGACCGGTGCAGGCCAAGCGCCAAGGATCGGTCACACGAAGTTAAGCCGACGATCCTTTCCATCCTTACCACTCGTCCAATCCGACACCGCAATCGTCAAGCCGACCGTCCTCTCCTAAGTTCAAATCTATCTTAGGTATGTTTTATTTTATTTTTTTTGTCAAAGTTTATTGATGGTTTTAGGTTTTTGTCTCAAGGAAGATGCGAATATAGATTTATATCATGGAAATTCGATTCACTTAGCCGAGTTAAATCGATGTCAAGCAAAAGAAAGATCATATGGTTAGTCACCATCCTCATCCACCGACCACCACCCCTAAGTCGTTCAGGTGACATTGTTCTTAACCTATCTTTCTTACGGTTTCATCTCTTTATTTATTTTCCCACCGAGGACGGTGTGATTTAAGTCTAGGGGGGTTAATGAATCCGCCATCACTAATGCTACTCTCTATTTTGTTGACTTGAGACCTTTTTCCAATTTTTACATCGATAGGTTTTAGCAAAGCAAAAAGATTTATTTTATCGAGTCTTTTATTGAGTCAAAACAGTTGGAAACTAGGACCTTGTTATATGATGATTTTTGACCATTTTGTGTTGAGAATTTTTCTTAAGGAACACTTACATGTTCACAAGAACAGACAAATTTGAACACTACATCCGGACCGTCCCCCTGAAGTTTCAACCCGTGGAGATTTTTGTTGGATCGAAAGTCAACTCTAACCTATATTGGACGATTAACTTGATCTTAATTCTTTCTCATTAGAGGTTTCAGATCAGGGAAACGAGCATATACATTTAGGACTTCTTATCCCTTTTTACCACTCTCTGCTGATCTTGAATGGCCACTCACTTTTAGTGGTTTCCTACCCTTAAACCCTATCCTCTTTTCAGACCTAACACATTCTCTTTTCCTTTTCTCACTTTAGCAGCTATGTGCAAAAACGTCGGAGAGAAAGGAACGACACAGTTTCCCGCCACGAAGACGGAGACTTGGAACTTACCAAGAGGATGACGTTTTGGTCTCGAGCTTATGCTTCCTTGGGATTCGATTTCAAAAGGTACATATTTCATGCTTATGAGACTTTCATTCTTAAAAGTATTGTTTCCCCTTTCTAAAAAACATAAAAAAATAAAAGAAAAATAAAATAAATAAAATAAAATAAAAAATAAAAAAAAAAAAGGAAAAAAAGAAAAAGTCTCATAGCATAGGGAAGTCTCAAGGAAAAGCATAGCTCATGGAAAGAAGATGGAGACATTCACAGAGATCCCCACAGAAAAATCTAAGTCTAGGGGAATCTAAAAGAAAAGAAGTAAAGGAGAAAGATGGTGTTACAAGAAGAAGTGGTTGGAAACTGTGGACATCAAACCGATCCGTTTTCTCTTGCGGTTTTGCGATATATCCTGCATTCACAAGATTTACGGTAACCCTAAACACCTTAACTCCACCACCAAACACCAAATATCCCCTTTCATACCAAGCGCCGTCTACCTTGAATGATCCCTCCTAATGAGAAAGCTCACGCCAAAAACTTAATTAATTTAAAGAGTTGATTGACGTGAATTCAGAGTTTCTGTAGGTTCGAAGCGGATGGACAAGGACGAGAAAGGTGTAGAACGATTATGCGGATGTTCTAACGTGAATCTTGTTTTCAAGTCGTCTGTAGATTATTCAAGATACGGTCACTGATAATCGGAGAGTTCCCGCGATTTTAAACGGATTTAGTCTTTTGTTTGCTTGAGGACAAGCAACGTCTAAGTCTGGGGGAGTTGATAACATGGGATTTTCGCCCATATTTGCTATTGTTTTCTTATGTTTTAGGGAGAATTTGGAGTGATTTCAGAGCTAAGAAGGAGTTATTCAATTATTTATGGAGCCAAGAAGGTTTTAAGAGTTTTTGAGCTTTAAAGACCAAAAGGCGATCAAAACCCGTTTCAAGACAGTTTCTGTACGTCAGAAGTATGGCGTCCGTTCGAGGTCTTCCCATTACTAAATCAAGAGATCTTGGTGGCTATGGAAATCTAGAAGAGTCAGGATTCTCTTCGAAGTTGAATCGGTGCTTTTTATTGAGCCAATCGGAAGTTATGACCAGAAGAGTGAAGACATGTCTAGACCGGCCAGAAGCTATGCATCCGTTCCGGAGCTTCTAGGCCGCACCGGTCACAAGGGCCGAGCCCGGGCTGCCTCCTACTCTCCACCCCAGTCATTAGACTTCTCCCTTTCCAGAAACTCGAGTTTGCACTTAACCTAATCCCGGGAAATGACGCTTTTACCCCTAAACCTAATCCTTGGTCTCCAAACCTTATAAATACATGTTGGAAGCCCTAAACCTAGGTGTGCCTTCATAGAGAGCTGTCGTGCCCTAGAAGCGTCTTCGAAGAGTCTCCACCAAGCTCGTCCCTGCCCCTGCAGCCGTCGACCTTGAAGCTTTGAAGTTCCACCAAATCTCTCTTTTTTCTCTTGTTTACTCTAAGATCTATTAAGGTGAAGTCTTACCTCTTGTATTCTACATTAAAAGAAGTAATCTCTAAACCATATTCAGTTCTTATTCTTCTCTTTCTTATGAGTTTATCAAACCTTACTTTGATGATCTCTTTAACCATGCTAGAATAGTTTTCTAGTTGGGTTTAAAGGGTTAATCAAAGGGGGGAATATGATCGATCGTTTAAGTGGCGATATTTAGGGTTTTGTTTGATCGTTTACACTGTATTCTTTCTAAGTAAGTTTTTTCTTAATGCATGTAGTTAGATTCATGTCCTAACTTGTGATCCCAAGCGTTTAGGTTGCTCACAAGGTTGTTTAATACGCTAGACCTAGCTTACGAATGTGTATCGTGTTATAACAAGCACACACCACTTAGTTATAGGGCTTTATGGACTAGAATCGAACTTGATCTTATTGCTTTGATATATGCTGTTGGGGTCGGATCCCACACATTTTTGGTAGGATCCACTTGGATCTGTCCACGTCATTATTACATAATAATCCTCTTGGAATTAAAGATATTTTATTATAAGGATCACACTTAACCAGTCGGGAGTTCGATTCAGTCTACTAAAAGAGTTCGATCTTTACCAGTACGGAGTTCGCTCTTATTCAGTTCGCATAGAGAAAGGCCGAAGCGAGGAGAATATTGTTCGGGGTTCGCGGTAGCATCAAATCATGGGAGTTCGGAGTCAGCAAGAAAGAGTTCGGAAGGCCCACGTGAAGCCCAAGACAAGTTCAAATTCAAGCTGTTTCGGTCAAAATGTAACTTATGTGATTAATGCGGATCAATGTGATTACGAGTAGTAAATAGCCGCATTAATCATGTTTTCTCTATAAAAACAACCTCAAACGCATGTGTTTGAGAGGGACAATCTTTTACCTCTTACGATCAAAGCAATACAACATACTTTTTCTTTCACAATTTCACAAGGCTTTTTACTATTTTATTCTTATCAAATTCTTTCACTTTATTTTGGTTTCTTGGTTACTTTCCTTTTCGATTTCTTATTTTCATCCTTTGATTTTAGAGTGTTTCTCCACAAAAATACCTAAAGACAATCGAGTGTGAATCCTACATCCACATTTTGGCGCCGCCTGTGGGGAGTTACCGCAAAACTCTTTAATCTCAAAATCTCTCTTTCTCAAACCAAGAAACTATGGCTGATCAGCAAGCTTTGAGCAGTACAATTGCCTTGCTTACTCAGACAACCACCGATCTGACCAATCAGATGGGTACACTCGCTAGTGCCAACACCACTTTTGGTGAAAGGTTAAACTCAATCGAGCAAACTTTGACGAGTGTTCAAACCACCCAGACGAATTTGTCAAACGCGCAGAGTGTTCAAACCACCCAGACGAATTTGTCAAACGCGCAGAATACCATTTCGAGTCGTTTAGATAATTTGTCCTCAGCGCGAACGACAACGTATCCGCGCAGGCTATTCCATACTCCCGCACAAAACATGACCGGGAGCACTCAAACTCCTCCTGCAGGCCGTCCTGCTAGTACTAGCAATCAGGCAACCGTAGGAGATGGGTCCAATCCAACCGGGGATGAAAATCCCCA